TCCAAAACATAAACTTTGGTGGGACACATTCAAACCATAGCAAACACACATACCTTTATTTACTTGGAACAAAGGTGTGGATAAGGGAGTGGTGAGACATGAAGCTGGAAAGACAGAATATGTGTGATTTGAAGAATGACATGTGTCAGCTTGAGGACAGCATCCTAATCCAATTGGTCACTAAGGAAGGTTTTCAGCAGAGAAGTGACATCCAGCTGTTGTGTTCAGAGGATGAATTGGAGGCCAGAAGGTTGACACAGGGAGCTGAAAGGACAGTTAGGGCCAGTTTTCCAGTAGTCCTGGTGAGAATGGTGATCTGAACTAGTACTTCAGCACTGAGGATGGGCTGAGGTATTAGTATTAGGAGACAGAGTCACTGTGATAATTTCCCAAGTGTGTTTCCTCCACACCGAGGGTGCCTCCAAGTTCTAGGAACTTCAGAGGCTAAAAAGGAATCCTAATAGCTTTTCCTCATCCCACATGGACAGCTCCCCTCCTCTTTTTTATTCCTGCCTTATCCACCAGCACTTTCCTGCTGGGCTTCCCTTGCCTGCGGTCAGTGCTTTCCTAACGCTGAGCTGCCCCCTTGTGGAAACTGAGAGTTCCTAACAGCATAGAATCTTCCGCTGTTAGTGCAACGCCTGCACCAAAGTACTTGTATGTGTCAACTGAGTGGGGAAGACTCTTCACTTTTCAAAAACAGACACCCTGTACACCCTGTGCTTAGAATATAGAAAGCCTAGGAAAGACTAAAGATAAGATCAGGTTAATATTTTAAGTAACACTGATCAAGCGGGATTGAGAACGCCCTCAAAAGCACCACGTGAGTCTTTCAGGACGCTCTGCCTTCTTCCTCTTTTTAGTTAATTTCCAGTAAAGATTTTAAAGAGCACAAGCAAGAGGGGTCTTTATCCTGGAGATCAGGGCTCAGGCAGACAACGTAGATGAGTGAAATGAATCAGGTGTAATGTAATAGGAAGTGGTTGGGACTGTGGAGAATTGGAGCCACCTGCCACTAAGCACCAGTTATTTGGTGTCCTATGGGAATGAGGGCCTGGTATTATCAAATATTTCAGTTTTTATAGAGAAGCTGGAAAGCCACATTACCACATGTAACATTGCAGTTTTTTAAATGTTGTAATTTCAAAATTTGAGGAAAGAAAAAAACAATTCTAAGGCCACTTGTTTTCAAGTTCTTTGCAGTGGACCATCAATTCCCAAATGCTCCATGATTAAATTTTTACTGGTTTGTGGTGAATTTTTTTTTTTTTTTTATAAAGGAGACAACGAGGGCTGGCCCCATGGCTCACTTGGGAGAGTGCAGTGCTGGGAGCGCTGAGGCCGTGGGTTTGGATCCTGTATAGGGATGGCCGGTGCGCTCATTGGCTGAGTGTGGTGCGGACGACACCGTGCCGAGGGTTGCGATCCCCTTACCAGTCAAAAAAATAAAATAAAATAAAAAAATAAAAAATAAGTTTAAAAAAAAGGAGACAATGAGATGAGTTTCTCTATATTGCTAAACTGCTTTCCCCCTTGTAATTATATCCTTATGTATTTTGTTAAAATAGTCTTGTTTTATCTTTATATTTATGTTAAAATGTCTTTTATGAAATGATAATATTGTTTCTAATGCATGTAATTGAAAAATTGAGAGTTGGTGACTTTATGTTTTCTTGGATTATTTAGTTTTGTTTTACTGACTATTAAAATCCAAGTGATAGGACATCACTGCTAAGACAAGGGCAACTGAAAAGTTTTAAAGCATTGTTTGTGTTGGGATAACCTTAGACCCCAGCAGTGAGGTGTAAGATACATTGGTTGAGACTAGAGTCCCAGAAGTACTAGAGTGTGAAAACCCAAAGAATGTTTGCCTCTCTCCTTTATTTCATGATTGAGGACACTGAGATACACTGCGAGGCAGTGGATTGTCTGCGGTCACCCAGGGACTTGGTAATAGAGCCACATTTACATCTTATTTTTCCAACACCAGAAAAGTGTTCTTTCAACTGCCCTATTCCTTTCCACGTCAGCCAGATGGTACCTTTAGACACTGCTGTGCCCAGATGATGAAAAGCCTAGAAAGGAGAAGTCTTGAGGGTAATAGAATAGGTGATTTGTGTAACTGTGCGTTTCTGTTGAAACTCAGAACCCACGCATCATGCTCATTTAATTTTTAATTTTTATTTTTATTTTTGTTTATTTTTAAAAATTTTATGTTGTCGATATACATTGCGGTTGATTATTGTTGCCCATTACCAAAACCTCCCTCCCTCCTCCCTCTCTTCCCTCCCACCCAACAATGTCCTTTCTGTTTGCTTGTCGTATCAACTTCAAGTAATTGTAGTTGTTATATCTTCTTCCCCCCGCCCCCCCCGTTTTTGTGTGTGTGTGTGTGTGTGTGAATTTATTTATTAATTTTTAGCTCCCACCCAATAAGTGAGAACATGTGGTATTTCTCTTTCTGTGGTGCTCATTTAATTTTGGGTACAGAAGTTTGCCTCCTCATTGCTGTTGAGTTGAATTTCTTTTAGGATGTATCTTTCATGAGTAGGCCTTTGGATTTAAAAGTGTATTATAGCTCATTCATTATATTTTGCTATGTTAAAACCTGAATTGGTTTTACCTACTCAACTTTCTCACCAGTCTCTTAACTTCTACAGGCGCTTACATAGCTGCCCGTACTTTAAACATTTTTTTCTTATTGTTTGCTGTGTGTGTATGTGTTCCATTTCCTCACTTGACAGATAAATTTCACATTTATAAGAGTAACATATTTTGTACTCTTTTTTTCCCTAGTATCTGTGATTTGCACACAGTAGAGGCTTGCCTTAGTCATTAAATCAAGGAATGGGGCCCGCCCCATGGCTCACTCGGGAGAGTGCAGCGCTGGTAGTGCTGAGGCCGCGGTTTCGGATCCTATATAGGGATGGCCGGTGCACTCACTGGCTGAGTGCAGTGCAGACCACACTGTGCTGAGGGTTGCGATCCCCTTACCAGTCAGAAAAAAAAAAAAGTAAAATAAAATAAATCAAGGAATGACTTAATAAGCAATATTTTTTTTTTTGTCTTTTTTCGTGACCGGCAATGGATCGCAACCCTCAGTGTCGCACCCGTACCAGACCGGGACCGGCA